TTTCATAACAGAAAAAGGTAACTAAATCCTCCTCCGTCTCGGCCATCCTGCTGTTCACACGCCCTCGTGTGATCTTGAAAGTCTAACATAAACGTCATCTGTAGACAGAAAAAAGCAAATTTTTAGAAAACATTGTTCGGCCAATCCTGACCAAATATGACCACAGTGGCCAATCTCACTGATATAATAATCGGTGCAGTAGATATTATATTGCAAAAGTGTACTTAGTACAAACAGACATCCTCAAATTCCAATGTACCTAACACAATGAGTATTGGGTAAATGTTTAGCTTTATATGTTAACAATAAAGAGCGATTCACATCATACTTCATTCATTCTTCCTAACTAGTTTTCCTTAAGACAAATTTGTTAATACTGAATCTTTAAAATGACTAAAACCTAAAAAACTATACACACGAAGTTATCATTGAGTACAATTTACAGAAGTTTCTCGTATGTCAATCAAGTCGGTGCCACACAGGCCAGTCGATGCCACACAGGCCAGTCGGTGCCACACAGGCCAATCGGTGCCTCACAGGCTACTACTCCGGCGACTCTCGCCACTCAAACTACATTTGCCACACAGGCTTGTCAATGTTACATAACCTCGTCAATTCAGTCAGCCTAGCTTGTGCTACGTAGGTTCATTAATGTTAAGCTGCTAGATATTATTGGAAATAACTAAAATTACAGCCGTCTTTAACGGTACATTCCGATATCAATTACCTGACACATCTAAACAAAATGGAAACGTCTCACCATATAACATTCATATTAGATTAAATGAAACAGTCCACAGATATCCATTTTTTGCACAGCCCAAGCATCTCCGGACACCGTCTTATTTTAGGGCATTGTTTACGTCTCATGTGGTCTGGCTTAGCGTGATTTATTTATCTGGCTGAAGAAATCGTCCTCTCTACGCTAAATACATATTTTGAACACTTGAAACAAAGCACCTGAAAATTCATATTATTTATAATTGTGCCACAGTTGATATTACTATCGACCCGATCTAATTATGTTTAATCTTTGGAACAAATAAGGACATATGAAATCGGTATTATTGCGTATGAGAATGTCTTCGGAGTGTACACAAACATTAGTTTTTCGCTGTATCACCATTAATACAGTCAACTATTTCTCATATTTCTTTTGGAACATCTTTTACCTGATGGACTGCTAGAAAATTTTTAAATTAGTATCAACTGCTAAATAAAATTTTTATAACCGAAATGAATACGCAAGTTAAAGGAACTATGTAATTTTCCCAATATAATTCGCAAATATCGTCCGTTTACTTTCCGTCGATAAATAGTTAAACCTGTTAGTCAAATCTTTAAACAAAAATATCAACTCATTATTTTCACTTTAGAAATCCTGAAATAAAGAAAATATAAAGCAAACAATTACAATATAAAACATTTTTGACACTCTAAAATTCTGACCTGATTTATATTTTATTTCAGAACTAATAGAAGGTCTTTATAAGCATCGAATAAAAACATTTCAAAAATAATTCTCGTAATTTATCGATTAAATAAATTAGCTTCATATAACATCCTGAAATAAACAAATTTTCCATTTAATTTTTCCATACATATTGTGTTCAAAAATATTTCTGTGATAATAATATCAAGAAAATCAATTCCAGCCAGCAACAAATCTATGTCGACGTCATGTCATTCCATAAAAATTTAATTGAGACATCTACGATTATTTTAATCTTTTGAGCATCTTGCATATATCATATCATCATGATTCATCATTATCAAAGTAAAAGTAAATCTTCTGTAAAAGAACCCGCATATGCATCGCCATTTTGTGCGTCCTTTTTAACATTTGACATCGCATTTCGTTTCAGTTTGAGAAAATTTTTGCAACAAAATTTTCAAATGGCCGCTGTCATCTATATTTGCCCTGTTCTTCGGGTATCATACCACTTCTGATGTCGTGTTATCCATATACTACGAACATCATCTTTAGTGGTTACTCATCTTGTGGGCGTTATCAGGGCTCAAATAATAAAGTATTCAATGCTTAATACACAATTTAATCAGGGAAGTCACAATGTTATAAACTTGAAACGGTAATTCTAATGATTTAGAGCTAGCGGGTTCACAGTCACCGATCATCGACTTCCAACTACAATATCAAACATAACACTCTATACCATGATTAACCAACGTTACTAAGACACGTATCTCCAAAGAATGTCGTGATGGCGTCTCGACCCCGCTCGAGACTAAATCTCTGCTCTAAATTCAAAAGCAATAAAAAGTAAATTAAAGAACATAGTGACTTTAAACAATAATAAGGTTTCATAACAGAAAAAGGTAACTAAATCCTCCTCCGTCTTAGTTCTATGTCAGAGAAAACGCGTGTTTTCGAGTTCTCATGCAGTTTTCTTTTGCATTATTCCATGCAAAATATGGTCGATAAGCATCGTGGTCAAGCGGCCATAGTGCAAGATCATCAATCACAGGTGTCCAGGTTCGAATCTCGGTCGCACACAAAGTTTTTACTTTTGTTTGTTTTTTTAATATTTATTCAAGTTTTTAGTTAAAAAAAATGTACTTTAGTCCAAAAACTCCGAGCGAGGCTCGGTAGCCTAGGTACTTATAAATAATATACGAATGTGGAAACATTTTTGTTAAATATTAATATTATCTACTTAGACGGCAGCTAGTTACTAAGCGATGGAAATTAAAATACATAGAGTAATCCTATTATCAAGAAATTCAAGAAGATTTTTATCATAAAAATTAGTATAGAAGATAATAGGCTATGAACCTGAATTGCTATTTTGGACAGTTAACGAAATAATAAAATAATAATAATAATATAGCTATTCATTCATTTTATAATATACCTACCTACTTACTTGTATGTATACGGTAGTTCTACTATTTCATGCAAATCATATGTCACAAAAAAAAAACGAAACTACGTATACTCCAAGGAAACCATTTTTTTATATTTTACATATTCTACATAGGCATCTAAACCTAACCTAAAATAAAGCAAAATTAAGTATATGTATGTATATATTCATCTAATTAGTAATTATTGCCTAAATTTTTTTACCAACATATTAGTAATTATAAAATAATGAGACGTTCTATTACAAACTATCCTCTTGGTACATTATATTAAGGAATATAACTGCGTTCATAAAAAGTTAAAAGCGCTTGTTGTTTACGTTCGCCGTGATTTAAAGTTTTGTCGAAAAAAATAATTCATTAGCAATAATTCGTCGAAAAAAATAATTCTACTTGAAGAAAAGAAATTATTCTTTATATACACAAAGTGAAGTTTCCTACCCTTAGCCTCTTTGAACGAACCACGTTCAATTAAATAGTGATCAGTGTACAGGCCAGAAATTAGTCAAAATCTTACAAAGTAATATTAACGACGTGATTTTGGTCCCTGGTACGTAAATATTTTCATTACTGTTTGTATTATTTTACAATGCTATTTGTTTTCTTGACATGTATATTTAATTATGCCCATAAACAATTATCTAATAGTAAAAAATGATAATGAGCAGTTGGCATTGGTAAATGGTAATGAGCAGGTGGTAAAAAATGGTATGGTTTTGAGTAAAAATAAACCGTCTCAATAATATCACCCACCATTTATGCAGATTAAATGAAATTAATACGTTATTAAATGAAAAAGTCTAAGCAACTAATCGCCTTGCAATATTTTTCACACACGCACACACACACATACACACACACTTTAATAAAAAAAAATCTCGCATTTTTTTTAATTTGCCCGAAATGGTAGAACTACCGTATAATGGATAAAAGATATTCTTCGTAGATATCTCATTTACTATTGTATTCTAAATGATTTTTTTTGTTCTTAGAAAATTATAGAGCATACAATTGTCCATCCTATTCCCTTTCGTTTCGTTTGTTATAACTCTTTCATGCAAAAACTACTGAACGGATTTTAATGAAACTTTACTTTCCTCACCCCTTTTTTTTTTTTTTTTTTTAACGTTGGGAAATGCATTTACGCACGACGTGTGGGACTCACCGGCGTAATACAGCCAGTACTACCCACTAAAACCCAACAAAACCTTCCCCCGTCTTAATGGGGCGTCGCAGGATCGCTTACGCATTCAACTACGACACCCCGACGGCAGGTCTGCCGAAGCAGACCACCACAACCATGGGGTTGCTCCACGGTCCACTCTGCTATCAGAGAAGTACCAGGAGCAACCCGCATGGTACACCGCCTCCCGAAGAGGGCCACCTCCCACCGCCCACCGAAGTGGGCAACCTCCCTGTGCGTTTCTTAGCTTCGCGCCCGGTTGGATTGCCGGGCACTACTGAGCCCCCCCACCACGACAAGGTGAACGCATATTGGGGGGGACTTTCCTCACCCCTGAGTAACATAGATTTTTTTATTTTTATTTTCACACAACTTAATTTTTAAAGATACACTAATACATAATTAAACTACGCATGTAGAGACGCGAGAAAATGCTTTAGATAGAAAAAAAAAATAACAATGAAGCTGAACAATAAAACTAACAACTTAAGATCAAAATTCAAAACTGACTAATTAATGAATGTGTAATTTATGCTGAGAACATGAAAACAGTATTAACCCACATTAAGTATTTTCTTAGTTCATACCATCCGCCATCTTTCTAATCTTCTTATCCTAAACAATTTCCAAATTCCATCTAAGAAGACGAATCCTAAATGAATAATCATAAACAAATCAGTTGATTAGAAATATACATAAGGACCATTCGGCATGTGTTTAAGGTCATTGTAAGTATATAAATTAACTAAGTAGCGATAGAGTTGTAGGTGATGTAAAACAGGTCTAAAAAAGATGCCAAGCAGGACAAAGAAATAAAAATCAAAGTTGGCAGTTTATATTGTATCTGAGACTCGTAAAGACGTCGTCATTTTGTTATATTAAAAATGATTCCTTAGGTGTTTACTCGTTTTGATAAAATCATAAAAGTGACAAAATGTATCGAGTTATCTTTAGTTTTATGTTAATACATTTTTTAGTAAGTGGTCAATCACCCTGCCCAGATAATTTTGAATATTTTAAAAATGACAGGGGTGTGTATGGGTTAATAACCATACAACCTTTCGGAAAAGTTTCTACAGTATATTTAGAAGCAAAATTCACAATAGGAGCTAGGGTGCCTCCTGTAAGTATATAAGTTATTATTTATTTTTATGTATATTAGGCCATAAGTAATAATTACTGTATACATTTACACATTTGCGCATGATAGTTACTAGTTACATTGATAAAAAGTAAGGCCTAAGTGTGAAGAACAACAAACACGCATTCATTTTACTTATATACTTTACTTTTATATCACATACTTAGCATAGAGTGATTGTATGCTTGTTTGTTTATCGGTATGTGTGTTTACTAAACCACACAACCGAAAACGATCAAATTGCTATATAAATTTCGGGCACGCGAAGGTTAATTAAGGTACTAATTTTAATTTATAGTGTTGTAAGTTGTGGTGAAATTAAAATAAAATAAAAACTATAACAAAATTGGTGTAGCCTTTGCCTACCCTGATAGGAACAATGTGGAAAGGTACAAAAAACGTTAAAAAAGTTCCACGATATTAAGTATTCTCTTATTTAGTTCATTTATTAATATCTTTTAAATAAGATTTTTTTCTTATTTCTATTTGGTAATTTAGTTTAATCCGTTTCTTTTGTACTTATCCCTATAAAAACTTGTTTATCTACATAAATATAGCTAAATTATTAATTAACTAAAAATAAAAAAATAAACATTGATTTAGACCCCACCAACATGACGTATTATACAAAGTTATATAGATTATATGTTAAAGATAGCTAAATATACAAAAAGATTTTTACAACAAAATGCAACATTTTTTTTTTGAATTCCAACATGGACTTTAAACTAAAACAGATATTATGTAAACAATTCTTATTATTATATAATAAACTAGCGACTCACCCTAGCTTCGCTCGGGTTCGTCCCTAGGTACATTTTATTTTTTTCGAGCGGAACCCTAATTCTTTTTCTAAAATAAAACAGACACTTCAATTTTTAAACGACTTCAAAAAAAGGAGGAGGTTCTCAATTCGTCGGGGACTTTTTTTTATGTATGTTCCCCGATTACTCGACGATGGCTGGACCGATTTGTAAAATTCTTTTTTTGTTTGAAAGAGTATAGTTTCTAGTTGGTCCCATAGTCACCAAGTCACGATCTGATGATGGGATCCCAGGGAAATTGAAGGCAACTCTCAAATTTTATACGCACTTATTACGTTTTTCATATATTTCCTAAAGCTGTTCAAGTATTTGCGTCTGATAATCATCATCTCCTGTGGTTGAGCTAATGATGGAAGGTACAACTCCTCAACGGTTAGGAGTTAAAAGAAAATTCTTTCAATATTATACGTAATTATAGACCGATAGTTAAATTCTTTCAGGCTCTTATTAACCGACTTCAAAAAAAGGAGGAGGTTCTCAATTCGTTGGGGACTTTTTTTTTATGTATGTTCCCCATTACTCGAAGATGGCTGGACCGATTTGGAAAATTCTTTTTTTGTTTGAAAGGGTATAGTTTCCAGGTGGTCACATAGTCACCAAGTCACGATCTGATAATGGGATCTCAGGGAAATCGAGGGAGAGGGAGATCATTTATTAACCGATTTGAACAATTTTTGGTTTGTTTGAAAGAGTATACTTCCAGATTGGTCCCATTTAAATTTGAAAAAAAATACCACCCTTAAGGGTGGAAAAATAGCTAATAATGAATTTAACCTACTTCTAATTGTCATATTGACTTGAAACTTTGCAAGTGTTTCTATTTCCGTTGATAGTACAATGGTTCGGTATTGTTGACCTGATCTGATGGTAAGGCCAGAAGGTGGATAGGTGGAACTCTTCAACGGCTAATAGTAGATACTTTGAGTTTGGGCTTATTTTGTTTGGTTTGACAAGCCTAACACTTTAGAATTCTTACTTTGCTACTACTGTCTACACTAAAAACGGAAAAATAAAAACTTTTTAACAAAAAAATAAAAACCGACTTCAAACAAAAGCACTAAAAAGTAAAAAATAACTGATTGGTAGTTTTCATTTACTATACATACCTAATCAAATATTTTCGAAGTCGGTGTGCTTTGCTTTGTATGGGCTGGCACTGATTTTGAAAATATTTGATTAGGTATGTATTTAATAGGTAGGCTTTAATTACTTAGCCAAAGCACACCGACTTCGAAAATATTTGATTAGGTATGTATAGTAAATGAAAACTACCAATCAGTTATTTTTTACTTTTTAGTGCTTTTGTTTCAAGTCGGTTTTTATTTTTTTGTTAAAAAGATTTTATATTTATCTGTATAGATGTATAGATACTTCGTACTTGTTATTAAAACAATTTGGTGCAAATAGAAAAACAAAATTCAGGCGTATTGCATGTTTAAATGGCACGTGTTGTGGATTCTAAGCTGTAGATCTTAGTTGATCCAAACACGTGACTACATTTTAATTGCTTTATAAAGAAAAACTTGGTTAGCGTGCGGTTACACACTTTAACTTCCGATGGCAAGAAAAACTAATCACTAGTTGATGAGTACCATGCTTTTAGGTTGAGTACAAGTTAGGTCAATATTTGTTCCATTAGATTTAAACAAATAGTTCATAGAAAAATATTTCTTTGTATCATAATGTGTAAATATATAATGAAACATTTTTCTATATTAAAATAATTAAAGGAAATAATGAAAAGACTGAAGTCTTTAGTCTGAGCTTGCATATTGTATTCAGCCCTTTTTATCGTCCCACTGCTGGGCACGGGCTTCCCTGAAGTACGAGGGGAATCAGGCTATAGTCCACCACGCTGGCCAAGTGCGGGTTGGCTGACTACACATGTCTTTCGAAAAACTTGCTAAGTTCTCTCAGACATGCAGGTTTCCTCACGATGTTTTCCTTCGCCGTAAGGCAAGTGGTAATCATGTTAGAAATGATTCGCATATGAAAATATCAGAGGTGCGAGACCCGGGATTTGAACTCGCTTCACTCGGTTTCCCAAGTGATCGCGTTACCTACCACTGCCTTGCTTGCGTATTACCACATAATTATTAAATATTCATAAGTGTAAAACTAAGTATTTTATAGGTATATAATATATTTTATATACTTATGTGAAATAATAATATACTTGGAAAATCCTTAAGTTTTTATATGAGTAAGCATAGGTTATATACTCGCACATATTATGTACATTATATAATATATAGTCTGACATATAAAATCAAAAAAATCTATGACGATAAGATTTAAATGGAAAAATTAGTTATTAATTATAGTAATGTTCTTGATGTTTGATTTTTTGATCCAGAAAAGAAAGGGGGTAAATAAAAAGAAAAATCTACCAAAATTTAATATTACAAAGGGAAAGTCCTTTTCAGTCGGTACCGGCGGAATGGTCACATAAGATGATGAAAATAGTGTAGCACTAAATCGTAACATAAAATATAGATAATTTTAATGTCATAATATTATATTATGCTATTATCAGTCTTAATCACATTTTACATTTCTGAAAATCTTGCCATATAAAACAAGTAGATACGGCAAATTATCGTCTGTAGAATATAAGTTCATTTACTTGATGACTAATACAATACCTTTGTTTGAATTCATACTTATAATATACAAACATAATATTTTATTAATATTTTTTATGAGATAATTTTAATTAAAGTTAAAAAAAATTATGTAAAACTTTTAAGTTTTGTTGTGTGGTAGGTACGTCAATGAAATAAAAAAGGATTAATTATGCAAATAGTAAATATTGAATAGTAGATTATGTGTTAATTCAAGATAATCTGTCATCTCCATTCGGAATTTTCTCTCTCTAATGACCCAATTGTGTCTCAGTCTTGAGAATCTCTGCACAAGCTTTCCTCATTAGTATTCATAACGAGTATAAATAAATGGCGCTCTAATGGTTTCCTGTGACAGTTTAATCAAGATTTAAAAGTTTTTGGGTATCCCAGTTATTACCATACCAAACAACAAGTCCTGCGATCCGGAGGTTCATTCAACTCTAATGTTTTTATTGACATTTTTAAGCTGCTAATTAAAATATTCTATTCAAGAGTTATTTTTATACATTTTCTTGAATGGGATATGGTTTCCTATAAAGTTAAGTTTGCCTATAAAATGTATTATGATCTACTATAAAATACCCTTAATTTCATTTTATAACTTTGATGACAGGTATATAATCAAGGTTTATTAATTAGATTTTAATTTTTACCTACTTCTAATTGTCATATCATCTTGAAACTTTTCAAGTTTTTGTATATCTGATGATAATATAGTTATTTGGTACCTGTACACTAAAAATGGAAAAATAAAAACTTTAAAAAAGTGAAAGTAGAAATCGATTTCCAGGCACTAAAAAATTAAAAATAACTGAACGGAAGGGAGGAGTGGGGGGGTGCTACTTTTACCGTAAATACTTAATCAGATATTTTCGAAAACGCTTCCAGTTGATACAAAGCACAACAAATCTATATTATACTAATACTCGTAATTAGAGTTCATACCTAGTCATATTTACCTATTAGGTATTCATATCTCAAAGCATTGTCGGCTGGCATCGATTTAGAAAATATCTGATTTAAGTACCTATAGTAAATTAAAACCCCTTCAGTTATCTTTTACTTTTTAGTGCCTGGGGAAAGGTTTTTTTATTATTTAAACAAGGTCAGGTATAAGCAACATACGTAAAGGTTTTCATTCTAAATTTAAGTTAAGCTGTCTGTAGACTTGATAACATCAATTTATTTATACAACAAGATTCGACTAGAATCTAGATTATGTTTAAATATAATATTGGCGGTGTATTTAACATAATAAAATAATAAATAAAACGAAATTTACCATCTTTTTATCTTCATATTGTAATTCCCCATAATTAAGCACATCAAAATTGTATCTAAACTTTTATATTAATATATACGAGTATAAGCGAATTAATAATTAATTTGGCATCCTTAAGTTTTTCCAATTATCATAATTTATGACCGTGTCGGCTTCAATGAGCGGCGAGTATCCGAAACATACAATTTTCAATGACTCTACCATAATATAAATCGGGCTTGCATTCATGGTAACTTTTTAATCAAGTTG